ATCCCTGGGGAACACCACTGGTGACAGGCTGCCACCTGGACTGCTAACAGGAAAGTATTTTTGCTGTGGATTGGGCTTCCCTCTACCTTTGTCACCTCAGAGCTCAGTTGCTCTCATTGCAGGTGGTTGATTCTATCTTGGGGGAAAAAAAAAAAAAAAAAAAAAAAGTAATGAGCTCCACAGGGCTCTAGCAAAACACAACCTCTAAGTCAGGACAGTCACTCCCTGCTCCAGGAGCTCAATGCTGGGATTCAGCTCTCCCAGGTCCTTCTAGGAGCTCATTCCTCCACCCCCTGCACCCCCCCCAAGCCCCAGTACAGTGAAGCTGAACTGACAGGGGGGACAGAGTTGAGCTTCTCAATTCCCCCTTGCCAGAAATTCTCTTTCTCCTTCTCTCTCACACACACACTTTCTGAGGAGTGGCCAATAGTCTGTTTGTAATGCACTTAAAGCAAATGCAAGAAGCCACGTGCTGAGCTACATAGCCTGTTAAAACCTAAAGTATACTCAGGAGGCCCAAGTTTTGTCTTCAGAGCATGCCTGACTGTTTTGGAAAGAGGAGCCGAAATGGGTGTGCTCTGTCTTACAGTATCTCAGGTGGCAAAAACAGCCTTGAACAGTATTTCAGAGCCTACTCGAGCTTTAGCCAGGCAGCAGACCTAGACATGACATGCAGCAGATGAACAAATAGCTTTCAAAACTTATTTTATTCTTCGCATTTACTGACATGCAGAATCCACATGCACTTTGCAGAAGTGAGGCATCATTCCCCAGCATCTCTCAGAAGTAGGTCAGAGGATCATCTCTGGTTTTGCCAGTCTGAAAACTGACAAGGCTGGGACCTTGGTTCTCCTGAGGAAGGCTCTTAAAGACCCTTAAGTGGACATAGTCATGATCAGAATCCTGGACCTGGAAACCAAAGCAGCAGGAAAGTAAGGATCATGTGTGAAGCAGTTGCAAACAAACAGATCGTCTTACATAGTTGCAATAAAATCTTTGCTCAGGAGCTTAATTTCAGGTATATCTCCATTTTCACTTCAACAGCTCTTAACCTAAGTCTGGATAGTAACTGCTGGTAGAAACTGTCTACACCTGTAGAAAACTGTAGTAAAAACCTTCAGACTGATGTGAATGGAAAATGAGTAAGGATGGCTTGGGTGTGGGAGCACCAGAAGTCACAACAGGGAAAGGTTTTGATGGTGGTGTTCTGTTTCAGTCAGCAAGGTCCCAGCACATCAGCTCATGGCTTCTTGGGACACTGAAGGTAGGAGACAAGAGACAATGAGTAAATCTGAATTACTTGGGTGGGGCAAGATGCAGAGACAGTGTCAGTCCCTAGAAGGTACAGAAAGGTTTGTCCAAAACTGGCACATGGTCCTAAGAAGCAATGACAACATGAAAGCCAGGATCCCTTGTCTGCAGAATTACTGCAAACACCTCAGTGACTGAACAGACAACTTGACACATTTTGGTGCTTATGGGAGTGATTGCGAGTGTCTGAAATAATTTTTAAAATTAACTCACCTTCCCCACCAGAAAGTCCTCACATAAAGACTGGCTATGAAGTTGCCCATACTTTCATACACAAGGGGTGCTAAACTCTCACTGTGTGATGTATATAGTATTAAGGGAAAGTTTGATGCCTTAGGCTCCAAGATGTCTTTATGTGCTTTCTGGTGGCTCCGATGTGGCACTATATTTGTCTTGGTCTGGATTACATCTCAGCTCTAAGTCTGTTGGGAAGATGTTAGTTATCTGGAAAATTCTGAAGTATAAAAGAATTAATCTTGTGACAAAGCTCATTCCAGCTAATGCTAAAATGAATAACTGTTTCCTGCCACTTGCAAGACTGGGAAAAAAGAGACACATAATCTGTTTTCAGTGTTATAAATGGATTTCTTCCAAGTTCGGTAACATGGCAATCTTCATTTCTGAGTAGTTTGGTCATGAGACTTTGCATGGACAGCAGAAAGTATTTACCAATTGCGTATGTCAGCAATAAGATGGCACTAAGGAAAGAAATGCAACTGGGCATGACTTCTGCCTTTACTACAGCCTTCCTGTAAATTGTTACTCTTCATTACTCAGAACTTTGCCCACAAAGGGAAAGCAGATCTCATAGCAGCAAGGGAAAGATAAACATCATTCATGTAAATAAGACGTGGGCTAGCCATACAATAGGCAGTCTGTCAGTACAATCCCCTGATGCCCACAGAGCAAAAATAACTGTTATACACTATTTTAAGGAAGAATCTGGGGAAAAAGACATTTTGGCAGTGTCTGCCCTTACTGGGATCAACTATGAGAAGCATGGAGCAAATGCTCATAATGTCTCTCTGCAGAATTACTACCCTCCAAATCCTACCTGCCAATTTATTTAATAAAAAGATTCTGACCCTTGTCAAGGGAGCATATCCTACCAGGCATATGTCTGCACACATCTGGGGTTGAGATACAGCAGCCACATGCTACGTTTGCTCTCCTTCCAGAAAGCCAGCCTGCCACTAAGCGATGCTTTCTCACCTTCACTTCCAAAATCTGCACAGCAATTTATTAAAAGTTACTTCACAGAAAGCTGCTCAAATTAATGGATAGGGTATTCTAGTAGAGGATGAATGGCACTATCAGAGGGCTCCACATTAAGCATTACCAGTTTTTCCTCCACAACAGAAAGGAGGTTTTGAAAATATAGAAAGAACTAGCAGGCAGGCTGTAGCTCTGCAGCACATGACATAAAACCAAAACATCAACACACATGCTTGTATGCAAAACTAGTCAGCAGAGTATGAGATGTTTCCATTAAATTAAAAAATTCACTCTAACTCTACACCAGATCCTAATGCCAACTTCAAATTCATCATAATAAACACAACCAGAGGACACAGAGGCAATAGGAAAGCTACTCTGCCTTGAAAGGGAACAGGAGAGTTATGAGTAGTTTAAATAATTTGAGATGATAAATTGAGTTTATGGGGAGACCTTATAGCAGCCTTCCAGTACTTAAAGAGGGCCTACAGGAGAGATGGGGTGGGACTCTTTATCAAGGAGTGTAGTGATAGGATCAGGGGTAACAGTTTTAAGCAGAAAGAGAATAGATTTTGATTAGATATTAGGAATAAATTCTTTACTGTGGGGGTGGTGAGGCAGTGGCCCAGGTTGCCCAGAGAAGCTGTGGATGCCCCATCCCTGGAGGGGTTCAAGGCCAGGCTGGATGAGGCTTTGGGCAACCTGGGCTAGTGGAGGGTGTCCCTGCCCATGGCAGGGGGGTTGGAACTTGATGATCTTTAAGGTCCCTTCCAACCCAAACTGTTCTACGATTCTATAAGACAATCTATAGTCTTTGAGTGAGATGTTCCTAAGAAAGTTATAATTCACATCTGAAGAAGCATGGTGCATGTTTTATAAGTTTTTATATTTCTGTTGTACAGTAGTGCCAAACAGAGGAATTTTATAAGCCTCTGGAGATAGTGCCTAACTCTGTTAGTCACATCGGATGGTCTTCCACTACATTTGCTTCTCTTTCTTGCTGTAAGCCACCATGCAAGTCACCTGCATTGTTTAACTACAAAGCAATCCTTCCTATAATGTATACAAACCTTAATAAAGTAGTTCACCCCAGCAACGATCTGAGTCCTATATACTATGGCCTTAAACATGTCATACGTCCTGTTTTGCCTGCTTTCAAATTGTGGCTTCACCTGTAAAAAGAAAGGGAAAAATAGTTGGCAGGTTCATATTTAGGCTTTTCTTTCATATCTACCACTCCAATTTTCATCCTTTCAAACACACACCCTTAATGAAATAAACCTCAAACCCCCAAAAGAATTCAATTTACACCAAGACTTCCAGCCCTCTTTCCAGCATTCTTTAAAATCCTGTTAGAATTAGACGTCCTAGTTGATCTCCCCCCACCCTGAAAGCTGTCTGGCTAAACTGGCTCCTGCTGAGTACAGGGAAACTGCTACCTGCTGCCCTTTGAATTCTTTGTCAAAGGAGCCAGGTACCAAGCCAGTCCTTCACTACATAGGAGCTGCAGGTAACATAGATCCACAAGAAACAATAATGCTCTGTGCTGACAACATTCACACTCACAGTTCAGTTAGATGTGTATGTGCACAGTACCCAGTTTAAGCCCTGTGGAGCCTAAAATATGCACAGCTCAGATATCTACAACCTTTTCACCTATATATTTAAAAAAAAAAAAAAAAAAGTAACAGTTTTTCCTGAAACACACAAATTGTAGGGCATGTTTTAAGTGAAGCAGCAATTACAGTGGTACTGTCCTTTCAGAGATGAAGTATCTGTATAATTACTCATCTGAAAGGGCAGAGGAGCAGTGGGGGAGACAGCTGTGACCAGTGGTGGAAGTCTGGCTAGGTGTCTGAAGCATCACGAGTTATGTACCAGTGAACGTTTTACTATAGTTGTTTGCATCTGACAAAACGAATTCCCTACAGAAGGTGACTGCAGTGAATGTAACTCAAAAACTTATAGAAAACATAAACAATCTTCTGCAGGCTGGGTAGCAGCCTCTCCTCAGCACATGCCGCCCATGCCGCTGGCAGGGCAGAGGCATTCCAGAAGTTGGGCAGAGGAGCGCAGTGTTACTCCGCAGCCTGCTCAGGCAGCTCCCAGGAGGGGCCAGCAGCATGTCAGCGCTTTTCACCACCCGCCTGTTCTGCAGAAACGCACCGAATTAATTAGGTTTCTCAGCACATCCACCTACAGCTGGCTGCCACTCCCACGGACAGGCAGGTCCCAGAAGGTACTCTAGTAACATCCAGATCAACTATTTCCAGTCAGCTAGAAATTATCCAATTCATTCTATTAAGACGCCTCACGATCTCTTACTCTGCTCTTCTTCTGAGTAGCTTCCACAGGGTTTCCATCCCCAGGAACCAACAGCTGTACTTTCAGCTTGGGAGCTGCTAACTCAAGCAAACCAGAGAAACTTCAAGTTCTAACCCCTTCCAGCTGGCTGGGTCTGGGGGCTCCTAGGATGCTTCTTTTGGTACATATTATTCCTCTCTCAGAACAAAACAAACCAAAGTCAATTCTCTTCAGTTTTATGATCTCTCCCGACCTCTAACCACTATGTCCCCCATTTGTTATTTACAGACAGAGCCTTCAGTAAAATTAGGAAGGCAGACAGCTCCTTAACCCTCAGATGGAAAAATGTAACATACCTAAACTCTTATCTAATAGCTCCTTAAACCCCAAATGTTCCTCAGTTTTAGGCAACATCTGTAAAACAGACTGAATAAATAACATTCCCCAGCTCACTAAGGATGACTACAGACAAGACAGAGGTGTAAGTAAATAATTACATAATCCCAAGGGCAGATAGACATCCCAAGGCATTCCAAGGTCTGCAGATACTCTTCACAACTTCACTCAAATCATATGAGTTGCTTCTCTGCTTAGCAGAGCATAAAATCCCACAGAATTGCACCATTAAATGATGACACCATTATCTGGCTGGAAGCAGAGCAGGATTGCCCCAACACAACGTTTGTCTCCACAAGAATATTTTCTTTAGAGAACTATACCAAAGCCTCTGCAGTAGAGTGTGAGCTTTTTCAAAGGAAAAGGACCAGGGAGAGTTCTCTCTCCCACACTCAGCACAAGGCAAAAAATCCACCTTGTAGAAAATAAAGAGCAAAGAATAATTTGTTTTCATTTTCCTGAAGTTACTGAGACAGGAAGAACACCAAAATTAACATCAATCCTCTTCAGAAATCAGACAGAAAATCTGTATATCCGCATTTCAGATTCCATATTTGCCCTATACTTTGTGAGTATCAGCACAGCCTGAAGTGAACGTTCACATTAAGTGCACGTTCGCTCACCGACAGTTAAGCACTGTGATTTCATCTCTGATACACAATGCAACAGGGTAGGATCTTTTGGTCACACACAACACAGCCTAACATTAAAAACACACCTCTGAATCTGGCATGGTACACTGTCCTACCAGTGTTCAAAGGGGGCCCATAAGGTACTTCACAGACTCAGTCAAATTTCATAGCCCCCAGCTGTCAGGAGACATTGTATTCCCTGGCTTACACATGAGGAAACACGCATTGCAAATACACACAGGTGCCACAAATCCTTGCCTAGGGTCTCTGCTCCATAGGTAAAAGGGAATTTCTGATCTCTGCAAGTGCTGCTCCTTCAACCGCTTGTGCCAGCATAGGAAGAACAGCGATACTGCTCCTGAGTAATTCAGTCGTGGCCCCCAAACAATTTGAAATAATCCTTTTCTCTGTCTGTCCTGCAGTAAATTATCTCCCCTCTGACTAACCTGTTATCACATACTCCAGCCCTCCCCATGTACGCACACCCAGCTCTGGCAACCCCAGCTGTGACTGACCAATAAAGCCCTAAAATGGAAGAAGGCTCAGAGGAGGTGGAAAAGGGTCATGTGCCTGTGAAACTCAGAAAATGATGCAGGGTGTGATTGACCACAGTTTTCAAAGAAGCTGACTTTACCTCAACACAAAGGGGACCAGAGGGTGTTTGTTTTAGATAAACACCTACATCAGCTGAGTGGATTAACTGGTGGTGTAACTCCCTGAGTCTATTAAAAGAATGTGAACTCCTCCCTGAGTTAGCCAGACCAGCATGGGGAGAGTGAATACATGGCTCTGCCCAACAGAAAGTACAAAAGCTGAACAACAAACAAAAGAATTTCGAAGCAAGCAGTGGATTTGAGCTGGCTTTAATCCACGTATTCCTTCCCGGTGACTAGAGGTCGCCCAGCGTGGTGGCAATGAATATATTATCGATACCAGTAATGGAGATTACATTGGTATTGTGATTGAACTGTGCATTGCAATTGCTATATTTTGCTAAGAGTAACTTACCTCTGTATTGTGGTACCAGTATATTTGTATCACTCTGATAAATCAGAAACCTCACGTAGCATCATATATCTTCAAATAAGTCTGATATTAAACATTATACCCTCCACCTGTGGAATATCTCTGGTCAGAGTATTGGACTCTGGCATCAATCTACACAGTGTATTTACAGACCTCTCCTGGTGGCTCCCTCCGCGTGCACAGCCCAGTTCACCTTAGTCTGGTTTCATCATGGCCTGGTCTTAGCCTGCAAGCTCGCAGATGGGGATTGGTACAGCTGGAAACTCTGTCCTCCATGGCACAGCAAAGGAGGGAGCTGTGAGCCCTATAGTATCAGCCAACATGTTCAGCCCACTACTGCCTATTTTTGTTTCCTCAAGGAGGGTGCAAGTTATGCTTTATGCGGTTGCCAAAGGGGGAAGAGGTCATCTTTCAGAGCTGGAAGGGTGAAGGGGATTGGTTGGTGGGTGAGAACACAAGATGGGAGACACAAAAGGAGCTTTCCCATGCCATGTTGTTCCCCTACCCTTTGAAAAGCTGCTGCACTGCAGGGCATTAAGAGTACCTGCAGAGGTGCTGTGCACACAGCTGCTTCCAGGACAAGACCACTGCCTGTAAGCAACCACCATGGCAACTGGACTCACCCTGCCTGCCTTATGCCAACCTCAGCATCTCCTGCTAGCTCACCAGCAGCCCCTGCATCAACACTAGATGCCAGCAGAGAATGTGCCATTCACCCATAGTCTTGTCCTGTATATTTTTTTTTTAGTGCATACTGCCACATGGTTTGTCCTTCAGTGAGGAACTAATTCTACCAGGTACAATCTTCTCCCTTCCAATACACAATCTTTAATTTTAAACAAGCGACCTCAGTGCTGACATTGTATAGTTGGTCTTTGAACTACATGTAAACATTAACTGCAGGTAGCCAGTACTATGCCTGGCTATGGACAAGGATGAGACAGATAAGTGGTCTCAGTCTTACTGCTACACTCCCTATGCAGAATGCTGAGAAAATACTGACAATCAAGGAGATTCCCATTTTCAGCACTAGCTTCTTCAGTTAAAACACTGGTTCAGTATCACCACCTTGTCTCTTCAGACAGGCTTCAAGACTCAGCTCTTTGCACACAGACACTTCATCTTTAGAGACACTGCAACTCACCTCGTTAACAATACACTGGACTTCTGGTGTAGCAGGCTTGGTCTCAGATAAGCCTCCGGTCATCATAGTGGCAGGTAACTTCTCTGAAATGATGGGTGGTTCTGAAGAGGGAACGTTCAGCGCAGTCCAAGCAGAGTCACCGGGCATCCCGTATATATACATATACATGTGTCACAGAATCACATGACTTGTAACATACGGAGCCTACCATTAATACACTGGAGAAGGAGAGAAATGGGGAAAACAGAAGGAAAAAGCAATGTAAAGCACAGATAATATTAATACTAAATGTGAAAAGCACTTTCAGATCTTAAATGTATACATAGTCTCCACATCAATAAGAAAAGCAAACAACAGCCTCCAGCCACCCACATCTTAAGATACTTGGTTTGGGCTGAAACTAGAACCTCTTGCCTCTCCACCCATGTGCAGATGACTAGTCTCTGCGCTTAGGAAATAGATCAAAGTCACATCCAGTATTTCACAACACCCTTCAAGATCAGAAGTAAGCATGCAGCAATTTCCTTGGAAAATTCCCGTTCAACTTGTATTGTCTCAATATCTTTCGAGTGGGAAACAGAAGCAGATTGCATTTTACTTCCAGTGACTTTACTTCCCTCTGCCGAACCAGAAAGGTGCCAAGGTAAACACCAGAACCAGAAGGAAAAAAAAATTCAATCCTAGGTTCAGGTAAGTACTGCAACTAAGTTATGCTTCTTTCCTATCAAACCTACAGTTGCATTCAGGCAACCATAATAACAACTGAATATGCAGTACCATTTGCATTTTTATCATAACTCTAGTGACAATTTCCAGGAAGACAAAGTACAATCCCTGTCACTACAGTAGTTGTGCGTACACCATAGCTGTTCTAATTTCAAGGTACTTATATTTCACACAGTGCTGAAATACCTAAGATGCAGAACATACAGTCAGAAGTATTCCTTCTGCAGTTAACAGTCACAGACACATAACATAGTCATATTCATGACCACATATGGATGTGCAAAGCTCAAAACACATGCAACTTACTGAGGAAAGGCTAGCAGCTGTTAGCAGCACTACCTGGTAAGGAAGAGCTAACACTTCAAGACCACAGAAAAACTACTTCCCTTCAGTATTCCTGCCACCCCCCTCTCCAGCAAATGGGAGGAATGTTCCAGAGCTAGGACCAGAGAGGTAGCAGACCAGACAATTTTTAGTCCCTAGGGGTGGGTACCTGGGAGAAGGTGAAAGGAAAATACGTGCTGCAAACAGACAATGGGCATTTCTGCTGGAATCAGCATAGGGAATCTGCTAGAAACAAGCCTCTTCTCTTGAAACACAGCAATGGTGACAGTGTAGCACAGATTTACCAGTCTCCTAACCAGCCTACTAACCCTCCTTATGGATGATGAGTGATGCAACAGACAGTAAACAAGTACTTCATATCTAACTTCAAGGCCTATTCTTGATACAAAGGACCTGTGATTGAGAAACTGCGGCTGTAAGGGCCCCAAATTCAACAGTATACAGATCAAGGTAAGAGCATGTTACCAGGAAGGATGTTACAGAATTTCCCAAACTTAGGCAGCAGTGTTATGGGAGTGGATGAAAGGCATTTGATGAAAAACAGTTGTCCTGAGACAACGTCTTTCTGAACAAAGAGAAAAATGCTCCCACTTCTTGTGAATAAAGGGAATGGGAGGTGTTAGAGCTGGAAGTCTGCCATCTTTTCCAAATTTACCACTCCAGATGAGGAGTTCCTCACAGCTCAATTTGTGGAGTTAATGACAGTTCAAGCTGATGAGCTCAAACTCCTTTTGCACAAGACCCTGCTGATTGACGCAAATGCTTAACATCTTCCACCATGTTGCTACCATGCATCTTATTCACACAGCACACCAGATAGGATAACTAACTGGAAGAGCCAGCTCACCTTACTGAGGCCAGAAGCCACAGAATCCATCCAACAATGACACAGCACCAGTGCTAAAACAGGGTATTTTATAAACTCCACTCACCCAGATGCAGAGCTCACTAACTTCTTTGGGAAGGGATGTTTCACCATGAAAGGCATTTATTGCCTTAATCAGACAAGGGAAAAAGGGGTACACACGGGAAAAAGTGTTTGTGAATGGACTTTACCTCCAGGATATGAATGCATTGACCCTGAATGTTCCCCCAGTGATTGTTACAGATACCAAGGGAGAATGAACCAGATACACATGAAACTCACTACATAAAGTGATGCCTTTATGCCTGATTCCTAAATCTAAAACTATATTTACAGAAGAAATGGTATAGAGGTTGTGATTCATCTATAGGTGAAAGGACCAATTGAAACACTAGGGCCTGAGCAGTGAGGCCCTGAACCAAAGCTGACCTCTAGATGAACCTCACAACCTAACAATATATCTAATATGTATAACATTGATCACATATGCAATGTATTACCTTATGAATATATGCCAATTTACAAAAGCTTTGTTGTAACGCTAAGAGAGCTTTGCTGTAACGCTTGCTGTGTAAGGTTAGTCAGCAGAAATATACTAATTGCTAACAGTAGCCACAATTCAAAAGGGATGTGTCCTGTAGCCACGGAAGGTAAAAGAATGTGTCAAGTCATGACAAGCTTTGTTGAGTGATACATAATCAAGATTACCAAATTCTTTTGTTCTTGTTATCTTCCCTCTCCTGCTCCGGCCAAGCTCCAGACAGAAGTTAACAAGGAGAAAACCACAGCAGATGTTTTCCGCAGTTTAAGACAAAGTTGTTTATTCAACTGTATAAAAGCAGGGAACTTTTGCAGGGAAATTTGGAAGCCTCATCTATACAGTGGACGCACTGTATTTAAATTTCCCAGTCGCCGGCAAGTGTTCTCCAACTCCTCATTGCAACAGGGCTCCCCAGCGACTGTGGATCTGGATGATGGTAATGCATTATCAGGGCAAATGGTGATGTATCTTTCTTAATCACTATCGCTAACTCTGTGTAGTAATGATTAGGTGTGTTACCTTATTTTATGCTGGCTATAGTAGTTCGCTTATTATTTTGCTGCTTTACCTTTTTATCTTGCTTTAATTTATTTTCACTGTATTATTTTCCTTGTTATTTTATCACTTTAAACATAAGTAAAAATAAGCTTTTTTCTTTTTTTAATTTGGTGCCTGTGTCCTTTGTGCTAACCGCATCAACTGGCAAAACACAAGCTGAGGCTACAGTTTGCACAGGCCAATCAGTCTGTTTTCTTCCCATGGGAGTGCTGATGGCTGTCCCAAAATCCAGTGATATTTCTAAGATTGAGATGCAGTACTCATCCTTCACACAAAGTCACTTTGAAATGCTGATGTTTCACAGACCTGTTATCAAAGATGATCAGTGGCAACAGACTATCCCAGGCAACCCTCACCTACAGCTCCCTCCATTAAGCTTTGGAGGTAATGAAACAGCACTTGGAACGCTGACTTGAAAAGAACAGCCATCCCCATTCTACCTCTTGCACAACATCGACAAGCTAGCGAGTGTCTCCACTTTAGTATTAGAGGTGTGTTTGATATTACATACCATTCCAGCCTATGCTCAGCATTTGCACAGATGGCAATTTCTCTTCAGATAACTGTACTGCTGTTAACCCTGTATAAGCAATTTTAAGAAGCAGAAGCTATAATCAATAAAAACACCAGTACAGTAACAAAACAAATGCAAACAAAAAAAAAACCAAACCCCAGGGTTACGTATGTATGAGTTATTTTTAAACCAGAAATGAAGCCACCTCTGTAGAAATGATTGTGAAACCTAGGTCAGTAGGTTAGTCTTCTGCTTTTGCAGTGATAAGACACGTAATTGTGACTGGATGAAATGACACATGGTCTGCACCACATTTTAAGAGCTGCTAAAGGAAAGCAGCCCTCCATCTACCAACTGAAGATCTACTTATCATCACAGTAACAACAGCCTTGACTTTCAACATGCTGGTTGAATAAGTTTCCCTTCCTGCTACCCACCTTGATTTTAAAAGATTCCTGACACTGTACATCAACAAGGACTAAGAGAAATCTGAACTTCAGCCGCACAAAGTTACCATAGACCAGCCTATGCTGGGCCTACAGTACCAGTACAGAGCCTCTTCCCCTCAGCCTGCTTCAAGATAACCAAATTCTACCCTTAAAAAATTTCTGTAAAGAGATAACCTGTTTCACCAGTCTTGAGTGCCTACAGGCTGCAGAAGACAACAGCACTGAGTGCCAGAAATACACCTCTTTCTGTTTCACAGAAGAAGCACATGCTTGAGGGCCTTCCCAGGAACCAGGACCTGCCCACCTATAGTCACCGTTTCCAAGCAATGGGAAAAGCCCCCGTAGAGGGGGAAGGCACCTGCAGGAGATCTAGACTCTGCACAGGACCATCAGTTGTGCTTTTTGTTCAAGGGTCTTTACTTGCAGAAATAAAGTTAGAACCAGGAAAAGGATTAAATCCTGGTATTTGTATGGTCCATTGTTTGATTCACATATGACATCAAGCAGCCCAATGACTTTGTTACTACCTTGATGGTAAAATTGAAGCAGGATTCAACTGCAAGACTAGGCATGATCATAGAACAGACAGAGATCACTAGACATAGATTTTACCTGCCTTTGTTTAGTATGGCCTACAGCTCATACCAATTATATTTGCATACCATAACAAAATATCGCACTTCACATACAGTTCTTAAGAACTCAAAAAATAGCAGCACCTTTTTCTCCTCCCCCATGCCCCAAAGCATGGCATGCAATTCCATTTACTCACCTTAATGTTCCACTAAGTTTAACAGCAATACCCAAACAGCCTTTGATCCATGTGATTTGCCATGTACTGTAAGAGACAGTCCTCTACGCTCAGAGCAAACTAAATAATTCAACTGCTTAGTGCAACCCTCCGTATACACCCAAAGAGGGGACGTTTGGGACTTAGAAGTCTTCTTATGGTGTTAGAAATTTTTCATATACAGGTTTGTATAGATCTACTTGTTTGGTCTTATATTAAAATTAAAAATGGTGCTATGTTGGGGTTGGGATATTTTTTTTTCCCATAGTTTTCTCATT